AGTGGATGATATAGATTGATGATGGTTTTGTAGAGATACATTAGGTCAATACATGTAGATGATAGATTAGATAGATGGATAGATCGGTAGATGGATGCATGTTGATACACAGATTGGATGGATAGACAGATGATTGATTGGTGATAGATAGATAGATAGATAGATGGATAGATAGATAGATAGATAGACATTGTTGATGTTAGGTAGAGAGATGATAGATAATGATGCTGGTTAGGTAGAGAGATGATAAATCAATAGATGTAGATGAGCGGGCCGTGGTGGCGCACAGCTGTAGTCCCAGGACTTGGGAGGCAGAGGCAGGCAGATCTCTCTGAGTTCAAGGCCAGCCTGGTCTCCATAGTGAGTTCCAGGACTGCTTCAAAAAGACCAAAAAGAAAAAGATATCCATAGGTGATAGACAGGTAGATTTAGATGGATTTCAGAGAGAGAGAGAGAGAGAGAGAGAGAGAGAGAGAGAGAGATGGATTATAGAGACACAGAGAGAGACAGGTAGAATAGGTATATAGGTAGGTAGTTGATAGATTGTAGACACAAAGATACGAAGTAGACAGATGACAGATGATAGACAAATATTTGGTACATTAAAGGGTAGGTAGGTGACAGAGAGAATAAAGTTTTCATGACAGAATATCATGGACAGACCCAGTTAACAGCAGATCTTCATCCACGGCCACACAGGTTCTCCTAAGGCCTCTATTCCTGCAATCTGGCATCTTCCTGTGTCCTTGCATGACTGTGGTGAGCAAGGTGCAGCCATCCCTCTGATTCCCACCCTTTCCACCTACTTCACTGACATCTGTCATGTAATTAGATGAGGGATACCTCAAGGACCACATTGTGTCCTCCTCGGTCATCTCCATCGAGGTCCTAATCTCCAACTAAATCACACTAGTGGTAAATCAGGTCTTAATCCAAGAATATGGGGTAGAGTCAATCCTCACCACCACCCAAATGTCCCTGCCCAGCCCAGGGATCCCTCTGCTGCCCTCTGTCCAAGGCATTTCATTACCATACAGTTACCCTTTTATGAAGTCACAGAACTCTGACCTCACTGTAACCAGGCCCCGAAAATGTCATGCAGGCCCTCAGGTTCCTCCACCCCTGGTTGATTCTTGTTCCCGGCTAATCTGGTCGTCAGAGCTGCTTTAGGGGAGTTGGCAGAGGTTTGTTTCAGACACAGTCACCTGGGAACAACGTCATGTCCAGTGTTCTTTCTCCTGAGAGGGACCTTCATCCATGGTAGGAGGAGCATAGAAGGTGATGCTCCTACCTTATCTGAAGTGTCTGAGGCTCAAACACTGCATATCATTTCCTCTGCTCATTTTTCCATAAGGGATTTCTTGTCACTATGCTTATAGGGCCCAAGTCCTGCGTGAAAGAGATTTAAGCATGAAGGAGGTTGAAGACTGACTTCCTGTCTGTCTACACACCACCATTAAACCCCACAGTTGAGTGTTATGTGGTTCTATAGAACTGTGCTTGACTAGCATTGTAGAATGTTGCATTTCATCACCAAGGTATCGTTAATGGA